ACTTGGGCAGCTTGGCTTTCTCCAGTATCTGTCTCACTTTGTCTCAGATGATGAATGAATAAAAGTTGTGTATTTAGGCATTAAAATACACTTGTCTTTTATTTTCATTTGTTTGTATTCATCACAAGAGCCTGGGATATAACGGTGAAGAAAAGAGGATTTAAATTATGTGTTTAGGAAATTAAATCTAATTTCTAAATACTTTCTAAGAAAATAACCTATTCAATATACAATTTGTTGGTCCATACCACTGAAATCATCTGAGAATGATTGGAACTCTCCTACACTAAGGAAATTAAATTTAATTACATTGTTTGGACTGTTGTTGTTATAAAATAAAATAAGACATATCTCGGCTGATTTACAGGCAAATACTCAAGAGCGAAAGCCGGATGTGAACAGGACAAATAAATATCACAAAATGACCATTATCTTTCTTTATGGTTAATTTTATTTAGTTCCGTTCCTCGAAAAATAAAATAATATTTAAAGTGTTTCTATTTTTCATCCAATAAAAATTTCCCTCCTAATTATACTCGCTTCGTTTTTCGAGCCTGTTAAGCCATAAAAAAAACGCCATAAAAAGGTCACACGGAAGTTCAACAGGCAGTCAACAGGAGGCCAGGGAAGAAACCTGTCACGGTCAGCAGCTGTAAGGAGGCCAGGGGAGCATCAACAGCAGCAGTAGCGCCACGAACCAGCGAGAACTACTATAAGAGATCAACCCAGATCTTCAGCCGGCCTATGAACTATACCACAAGTTAGCTGTCCCAAACCCCAGACGTTCCTCTTGAAATAAATCACGTAAATCTATTTCTGCTGTTGTATTTCTTTCTTTCAACCATACGCTTGTCTATAACAACATTGAATAATGTTTTTAAAATATGGAGGGAACATTAGAAAGGTGAAAAATTTTTTCAGGAGGTCACAACAGTAATATTTTGGGATCTTCATTTCAACTTCTACTAAATATTTTTTATTGTAATCCAATAATGTTTCAAAACTCTGGGGTCAAAATATTGGAATTATCTTTAATCTTTCTATAAAAGATTATATGTGTATGTATGTGTGTGTGTGTGTGTGTGTGTGTGTGTGTAAACATGTCACGAATTTTTAACCTTCAATTTTTTTGACGTTTTTACCAAATTTACATGCACATGCCCAAGTTAGTCCCCAAGACCGTTTGCATTTCCCAAGTTTGAAATTATAGTGGAAATAATCGAAATTTTTTCATGCTTCTATGGCAATTTTCATGTAGTTTTGTATTTTGTACTGATGTTCTTAGAGCCAATAGCTGGCTGCCAAATCTATTAGGAAGATTCTATTGGCCATCTGTGAGAGCCAACAGCTGACTGATTTTTTATTATTTCCCTAGCATTATAGCATTACAAAAAAAAAATCTATAGTGCATTCGTCACAAGGGAAAAATTTAAATTTTTGCATTATTTTTACTAAAAAAGGCTCATTCGGGATGCTTAAACTCAACATTGATTCTGATTCCGCAAAATTGGGTTGGGTGTCAAAAAAATTTGTTGTTAACACTACTTTTTCATTCAGTTTTCCAGATTACGATACAGACCAGAGAATTTTGTGTTCATTTTTTTTAATTCTTTTTTCGTAACAGATTTAATATTTAGTATAAGGCTTAGAAAAAATTTGAGTGTGAGATATCCTCTTGAAATGATGCATGGGTATCCCATCAACGTCAAAGGGCAATCCTTTAAATTTTTCCTGAATTGAGACATGTAGAACATTATTTTGGCAAAGGGCACCATTTCTTTTTAATTATGTCAAGAGCAAAAATATTTTTTGTCAAGCTGATAAGCGATTGCTGTATCCCTTTTCAAATTTTTCAATCAAGCTCGGGTGGGCTAGTCATTTCTAAGATACAACGGTTCAAAGCTTAATCTAAAATTGGACAATTTTGATGTTTTTGAACAATTTTGCTGTTACATATATTTATATATATGCGTGCGGAATGCTAATTTGTTAATTTTTGTGTGTGTGAATAATATGCGGAAGCACAGGTTTCACAAATAAAACAAATAATTGAATAGAAACATTGAAACAAATTAAATGGCATATATATATTTGTGTGTCATTTTTTTTTTTTTTTAAATATTTGGTTTTTATTTCATAACATTTTCTTATGTGTTTATTTTAAAATTATTGCTAAAATGTATTTTTATATTTTCTTTTGCCCGTAAAAATGTGCCATTGCTTAAAAGGGTTGAAAAAATTTTGATTAATCTAGCTGAGTTTTGTATTTGAGTCTTAAATCTTTATGATTTCCTTTTCTGTTAATCGATGTAATTAATTCCAATTTTTTCCTTTATTTTTCATTTTACCCATCCGTCGCTACAGTAGATAGGTATGTCCTATCATTCGGTTCATAAAATGTCCTTTTCTCCCGAATAGGTGTAGATTTATCCTTTTTATCCTGTTTAGGATTTTTTCCAAAACCTTTTAAATTTTACTTCTACTCTATACTTTTAACGTCTCTGGTAACTCTGAAATTTTATTTATTATTTTTTTATTTTTATCCTCCCTGTTCAGTAGTGTAGCATCCCGCTAGACTTTTTTTTTATCAATGTCTAATTTTGTACATTTTTTGTGCAAAGTGGATCAGAAAGTCTATTCAGCTTAGTAAATATTTTCAGGAAAAATCAACTTCTAATTGGTCAATGGTCAATAAATTGCATCCACCCACATACAAATATTTTTCCAGCGCGTGACCAAGTCAAGTTTTTCCGCCAATTTGATGCGATTCTGTCACGTGATTACAATTAATTATAAATAGCAGACACCTTGCTTTCTCTCTCTCCTTTCTTCATTCGCCTAAGAAGATGGGATCTTCAGGATTCTCATCTAGACCATGGGCAACAGACATTAAAATGATATTCACGCATGCAAGTATGTACAAACATTTCCAACTTACATTACAAACATACAGAACATTTCCAAACATGCAACAAGAACTTTTCTCTTTGAAATATTCTTCTAAAACTGCAGTTTATTCAGCAATTCTCAGCTTTATAATTAATTCAACTTTTGTGAGTTCAGATAAAAATATTCACAGTCTAAGAACATAACACTAACAGATCTTTTTTCTACGCATGTACATCAACAAAAAAATAAATACAAATGTTATGTTTTAAAACCATTTTGTTCCTTCTTATTTCATGTTTTGTGGTAATTTTATGTTAAATATAAATTGTGTGGTCATCTCTATAAAACGCTGCCATAAACAGACATCTACAATTGGTCCATTCTTATTACCCAGTACCACTACATATGGGGAATCCGACGTTTGACATGGGGCGATCCTTTCCCCTGGACCAGTACATTGGATTTGCCTGTAGGGGATGGTCCATCTTGCATGGTAGGAATCACCATCGCCTTAATTTATTATTTTCAAATAACCACAAAATATGAAACAAGAAGAAGAAACACATTCAACAAGGGCCTTTACCTCTGGAATTTATATATGCATAACAACAATTGTACAAAACAGGAATTCAGTTGTGTTTGAAATGCTAATATATACTTGTCCTTGGAATTTTAAGTGATAAATGTTTTTGTTGATAAAGTATTAAGTCATTAAAAATGTTTGAGTTTGGAGAATTTTCGTAAGATGTAGCGTAACAGTTTAGTGACAAAAAAGTTATCTGCCTTTGACCCTAAATACTTTTTGTGTTTCAAACATTGAATAAAATATCTTACGAAAATGCTGGAAGGAAGTTTGATCTTAGTTAAGAACTAAACATAGTGAATAAAAAATTCCATTGTTTTGAAATGTTCTGTGTATTCTGTTGAAGATAAATTTTATGATTGAGAATTTCAATATGTGATAAATGAATCCAGGAATGGTGAGTGAGTGAATTGGATGCAGCCATTAAATTACCTTGTTCAACTTGAATTGTATTGAAGTTTGTTTTCCCTTGAAAAACCCTAACTTTGTAAATTCAAAATAACAAATCGTCATAGATCAGTTTGGCAGATGTCAGCCGTTAGAAAAACGCACTAAAGAAAATGTGCTCATGTACTCTATTTATTTTTTCAATCACAGATCGGCTCACGAACACGTTTAAAGTCAGCATCTCAACCCCAGTCCGGGTTGAAAACACTATTGCAAATTGTTGATATATATTGACCAATCAATGATGAAAAATGTAAGATTTAAGCTTGGAGCCTGGATTGCGTTTAGGTTGCACAAAATTTGTATAGTTAGCATAAAAATATACAAACATACAGTAAATGTATATGAATATTTGTTATCCAATGAAAATCGTTAAATTAGACTACTATGATAATTAGTTAATGGATCCTTGAACAATAAAGGTTTATCCCATGTTTCCTGTTTAGGATTCTGCTTTCGGTTTCTTCTAAAATCTTCTCATTCTTTTTCACTCCCAGTCGCCCTTTGCGTCTTAGTCTTCATTATCGATTTGCTTGCTTGAATTGATTAAAAACATGTTTTTAAAAAGTTCACCTAGTTCAGACCTTTTACTACCAGAACACCCCATTAATTCACTTTTCTTTTCCTTTTCTACCAAATCAGTGGTTAGGGATTATCAAAAAAACAGCAAGGTTTTTTGTTTTTTTAAACAAAAGCTTATTTTTTTAAACAGGCCTAATTTACCGTCCGCATCTTCTTCATTATGTCAGAGATGGAAAATAAGTCTGTGTTTTCATGATCTTTCAAAAAAGAAATGTTCAAAAATCAATTTTCTCAAAGTAAAATAAAATACCTTTACATGAAATTGTTAATCTGAAGAATAAAAAATACTGGTTTTGACATCCTTTTCATTAAAATTCCTATCACCTTGAATGCCTGAATGTACAATGGCCAAAACATTTTCATGAACATGACAAATAAGGAGAAAGAGTCTGAATAATGTAAATAGTGAAAATTTCAACCAGCTCATCTCAAAATTAATTTCAAAAAAACCTATTTAGACCACAAATTTTGGTATATGCCAATACGGACCATTTGAATTATGATGGTTTCGCAGTGTTTGCACCACTCCCTTTCTTTTATGAAACAACCCCGTCATCTAGATGCCGGAGACTTCGTCGCGGTTTTTGTGTACCGCCAAAATAGCAACGACATCCGGGCTTTACTTGCGACCAAACAAACAAAACTTGGACCATATCAGGAATAGCTAAGACAAATAAAAGACCTTTAATTTTGAACCAGAAACCATTAATTTAAATGTTTGATCAAAACAAACACCAAACACACATTTTTGACTATAATTAATCTTTGACCAGTGACCCTTATATTTTTTTACTTTTTTAGCGTCACCGCTTCTCTTGTAAACCATCATTGACCTCATGCCTGAGACTTCATTTCAGTAAATTTAGCCGGCCCGGGGAGCAGACCGGCCTTCGGGCTGGGTTGCGACCATGGCAAAGTCTAGTTTGGACCATATCAGGACCTGCTAAGACAAGCCAAGACCAGAACTTGACTAAGCTTTGACCAGCTTGGACGTATTATGACCAAAACATTGACTAAGCCTTGACCAGCTTGGACATATTATGATCAATCTTTGACCAGTGACCCTATGCGGAAATGCTTGGGTTTTCCACGAAAAACGACCTTGTGTCACGTCTTGACCCCGTGGGATCAAGTAATCCCACGAAAAACGACCTTGTGTCACATCTTGACCCCGTGGGAGTTAAGTAAATACCGCCGGCCTGGGGGGGAAGCCTCCCTGATTCGCGACTTTGACGCGCCCAGTCAAATCGACCAAGCCCAGCAGCTGACGGGACCCAGCAGTAGCAGCAGTCGTTCAAACAGTCCTTTTCCTTTTTCCGAAAGTCATTCGATCACCACTCTTCGAGGCTCCACTCACTTCTGCTTGCTTCGAGACACTAGCTCCCTCTGCAGCGCCAGCTCATTCCTGCAACTTCCAGCACTCCTGCAGCATCCACCTCCAGCGACCAGTTCCAACGTCCGGATACAGTTCCCGAACAAACGACCTGTCTTCCAGCACCACCCACTGTTCGCAAATCCAAGACTCGACTCCTTCAAATTCAACGGACCATCTGCAGTCATCCTTCTTTGCCCCAACAGCTTCCAGCACACCTTTGTGTCCCCCCTTGCGGCGCTCTGGACGTCCCACTACCTATTCCATTGCAACCCTTGACGACCTAATCCTATGCCCACTAGGACGTCCAGCGCCCGTTATCGTCCGGACACCTTTTTTGAAACAAACGACCTCTGTTTCTTAAACATTTTACCGTTCCAAATATAGCAGCAAGACATTTCCATCGTCTGGATAACGGACCATCTGCGTTTGTCATCCTTCAAAGACTTAGCCAACAAGATTGTATTGAACTGTTTATTACTTCAACTTTGTTGCATTTTTTATCTCTCTGTGACATGTCTTGTTCATACATTTATTAATTGTTGCTTGTTTGATTTCCATGTTTTGTGTCTTTTTTTACCTAGACTCACATGAGCTTGATAATATTTTTTGCTGGACAAATATGCCAGTAGGCACAAAATGATGATACTTCCTACAACATTCTAAATGTTTTCATAAAAATAACCGTCTCACTATTCAGTTTCTTAATGAATAAGTTTTATCTGAAAGAATTATTAAAATTGAATAATTCCTTGATTTTTGTTAAATTTTTAAAAACAATTTTTTTCCTATTCATTTGTAAAGAAAAGAAAAAAAATGGGCTGCATTTTGTTAAAACTTAAAGAAAAGCATACATAGCAATAAACAATGTATTTCTTTTTTTTTTTACTACATTGGTCATGTTTATTTTATTTTATTTACAAGGTAACCAAAAAGTTCTGTCCGTTTTAAAGGAAAAAAAAAACGCTTCACAGTATGTGTAACTTATATTTAGTCTTCGAAGTAATCGCCATCGGCATCCAGCACCTTCTCCCAACGTGTCTCCAGCTGTTCAATGCCCTTGCGGTAGAACTCGAGGGGTTTTGACACAAAGAATTCCGTGAGGGCTCTGCGCAAGTCTGCTTCATTGGTGAAGGATTTCCCACGAAGATAATTATTCAGGGAGTGGAAGAGGTTGTAATCGGATGGCGCAAGGTCAGGTGAATAAGGTGGATGACACAAAGTCCCCCACACAAGTTGCTGTATGGTATCCCTGACCACTCGCGCGACATGCGGCCTTGCGTTGTCATGGAGGAAAAGCACACCTTTGCAATTCACCAGTGATGGCTCCTTCTGGCGCAATGCCTGTTGCACATATTTCAATTTCTGCGAGTATAGGTCTCCAGTGACCGTTTGGCCCGTTGGTAGCAGTTCATAATGAACCACTTGACGACCTGTCTACCAGACACAAAGCATAATCTTGCGTGGGTGCATAGGCGGTCTTGCAGTGTGAGAGACAGCATCCTGAGGAGACAACCAATGTCTGAAACGCTTGGGAGTTTCGTACAGAACCCACTTTTCATCACTGGTAAACATTCGATTGAATAAGGATACGGTACGGTGGCGAGAAAGCGGCGATACGCAGGCTGCCACTCATTGTCCCTTGTGGACCTCCAACAGCGTTTGCGGAACCCACTTGCTCAGTTTGTACGTCTTACCTAGGCGGTGCAGGTGAAGTCTGTTTCATCGGAAACGTTGAACTGTCTTGCAAGTTCACCACACGTTAGACTACTGTCCTCTTCAATGGCCGCATTCAGGACTCCGTCATCCAAGACCTGTGGTTGTCCACTGCGAGGCTCATCATGGAGAGACAAATCTCCCGACTTGAATTTTCGAAACCAACGCCTTGCAGTACGTTCTTCCACAGCACTATCCCCAAACGCTTGACATATGCGGCGACTTGATGCAGCTGCTGATAAGCCCACTTTGAAGTCGTAAAGCAAACAGCCCCGAACGAGATCTCTAGACACTTCCATCCTTCTCACAGCTGTCCGGCTTATAACTGATGGCCGGGCACGGAACGCGTGTTTTTTTTATAACGTCTGATGTTCCTACTTCCGGCTGTCTGAATTTGAAAACAATTGCTACACGCATTTCGTATATATTTCAACTTCATTCAATGACTAATCAAAAACGGACAGAACTTTTTTGGTTACCTTGTATGTCAGAATGGATTATTTAGGATTATCATGTTTACTGTACATAATTTTATTTCAATATTATTTGCATTTAATATAAAATTTATAAAAATGACTTAGTGATGGCATGGTATCATATATTTCGGGTGGTGGGAGAATTTGACATGGTTAGCAAGGTCGTCTCACCAGATCAATTATGACTGTGTAGTTCTATCCTCTCTGGGTGCTCCATACTTTCAGCCTTGTGCCACATATAATTAGTAAATTACTGTCTATAGGTGGCCCAGTGGATAAAAGTGTTGGTTGGATCCAGTGAGTTGACCTGAAGAGCTGCGAGTTCAATACCTGGCTTCTGCAGTGGTGAACAAAAACTTGGAAAGTTGAGTTAAAAAGGGAGATAACTGAGACATCCGAAAGAGGCATGGCATGTGGAACTAGAACAATCTACCCTGGTGGAGGAAATAAAGTGTTCAGTTCAAAATTACAATCACCTGAAGAAATGACCAAAGCATCGTGAATGTGGCAACAAAGATGAGGACAACAGTCCAGACAATGTAAATTACTATATTTCAGTTGGTAGGGGGCACTGAATCCTCAGCATTGACAGTGTCAGAAAGCATGAAAAAATGTCATAGATTGATTTTTTTTTTTAATAACTCCTACTTGCATTTTTCAGTTCCACTTGCCACATCTGCGTGGTGTCTCAGTTATCTCCAAGTTTTTTGTTCACCACTGTGGTAGCCAGGTATTGAACTCACAACTCTTTGGGCCAAGTCACTCAATCCAACCAATTGACAACATCAGTGTATGAATTTTGGGGGCTTATAAATTTATTATCTCATTAAATATTTTTTACCAGAGCTCATATTGCAATTTTTTGTTGTTGTTATTGCTTTTCTCTAGCATTCCCATAATATATTCATTTCTTTGCTTGGCCAGCTTAAGAGATTTTTGTGGCACAGCATATGTGCTGATTCCTTCAATTTTCATACTTCCAGTGATGTTCTTTATTATTTAAACCTCATCCCACAGCCTGTTTCTCCTTTTACTTCTTACCACAGATTTATGGGATGGAATATACACAATCCTTAGTCATGTTCTCCTCTATATGTTCTTACTTGGAAGAGGTGTCTGTAAAGGATTGAACTACTTTTGAAGATTGTCTCCCTTATAAGACTTCAAGAACATAGTAATGCCATAACAAGAGGAAATAGAAAAATCAAGTGTAGCTGACCATGTATGGAGGGAAAAGTGAGATCACCACACCCTGTTGGATAAGGTTGAAATAATAGACAGATAACATCACTAACAAATGTCAGCATCACAATCAGACTTGCTAACTTGTGAGGAAGACATTTTTTTACACTGTCTTCAGTAGCAGATTTTTTTTTCACAAATGTATCCGGGGTTCAGCCATGCAAATGACCTTACATGTGGAGTATCTAAGGGAAGACTTTGTCAGAAGTTTTTCAGTGGTGATGAACATTGTTGCAATTCTGAATGCAAACAGGTTTTTAGCTGACACCTTTCCTTTTTCGGAAAAAAATTTGCATCACCCTATCTGCCAGAAATCCACACTCAATCTTTGCAATATCTTTATGAATGTTAGGGTTTGATAAAATTCTTACAAATTCATTGAGTTTGGAAAAGCTAATTATCTTTTTAGTGTGCTCTTCCTTTACAAATCTTAACAGTTTCATGATCATGATAAAAAGATCATCTTCAAGGAAAGAAAACAACAGTTTAACACTCTATTTTATCAGAAACGGTTCAATTTCTTCCAAAACAGACATAAAAAATCTGCAGTTTCATTGGAAATAAAATTACATTCACATTTGAAAGCACTACAGAGAATGACTTGGTCTGGGGGACCTATTTTTTTAGTTTTTCTTTAAATTAAGTTAAAAAATTTGATGATCTCTGGTCAAATGTCTAGGGGTCATTCACATGTTTGTACATTCTCTAGCCATCTATGGCAGAAATACAAAACTAAAGGGACTGGGTTATCAGATTGAACTTTTAATATAAAGCCAAGCAAAGGTGTAATATATTTCCTCGTTTTTTCACACTTATAACAAGAAGTAGAGATACAGGTCATTATTAGCTTACATACTTCAAAACTTAAGAGTGTTCTTATTTTTTCTAAGATGCATTTTCTATTTTATCCCAAGACACATCAAAGGCACATTTTCTATTCTATCGTCCTTCCCATCTACATTTTGTTTGAATCTCAAATTTGTAACTAATGGCGACTATTTAAACAATGTAAATTACTATATTTCAGTTGATAGGGTGCACTGAATTGAGCATTGACAGTGTCAGAAAGCATGAAAAAATGTCATAGATTGATTTTTTTTTTAATAACTCCTACTTGCATTTTGCAGTTCCACTTGCCACATCTTCGTGGTGTCTCAGTTATCTCCCTTTAATTTAACTCTCCAAGTTTTTTGTTCACCACTGTGGTAGCCAGGTATTGAACTCACAACTCTTTGGGTCAAGTCACTCAATCCAACCAATTCATAGTTTATACATAGATACACATTGACGTGGGCACACATAAAGTATTGATTTTTTAGCATGAACTCAGCCATCACTGATTAGAGATCAAAAGGGCTTTTTACTTTTGAAATTGACATGTGAATAAAATTTCTTCAATAGTTCAAATTTTTTAAAAATCCTGATAAATTTCTCGAGATTCTACTAAAATGTATTTTATTAATGTAGAATAATTTATTTTCCTTTCAACTAGAAATTCAAGGTGTGTGAATTAATTTATTTTGATGAAGATGTTTACTTTTCTCTGACACCTTTTATCATTGGTTTTCCTCTTTCCTTGTTGAATGAGTAGCAGCAGCTAGAAGACAAGCTTTTATATTCTTTATCAACACTTAGATGAGAAAATGCAGAAGTAACTACAAGTTCATGAACTTGCTGCAATCAAGCGAACAAGCCATCATTCGCATTAATTGCCGAATATTACAAACAACTACAAATATATTTTTCATAAAGGACAATTTTAGCTTGTAAATAAAAAAAAGAAAAAAGTAAGGCTTCTGGGATTTAGCATTTAGACTTTCATGAAATGAGAAAAAAGATGCCTGA